ACCCCGTTCCATTGGGGACCGGCCAAGGATCAGTCATTTCCCCAGCAGGAAGGGTTTGAGGACATTGGGGGTGATTTCCCACAAACGTGCCCCTTTCATTAACACAATCCAGTTCTCCTGTCCCTTTAGTGGGGGTCACAGCTTTGGACACAGGCAGGATTGTCAGAGATGGGGGGGTACTTGCACACTAACTGCTGGGTCTACTTTTTGGTGAGCACAAGTGCTCACCCAGTGACCAGGAATCATTTCTGCCAGAATAGGGGAGGCAGAAATGGTGAATGGCTCCTTGTCTTTTCAGGTAAAGGAGTGCACACCCAACAATCCCTTGGAGGCAACACTTGGGTCACATTTGAGACTAAAATGAGATGTAAATTTTGCTCCCAAGTCAAGACCCAATTAACTATTGTCAGGAGAGCAAAACAAGACTAAAGCATTTTGTTTCTTCTCAGACAACCTCTCAATTACCCAAGGGGCTCTGGCCTTTGGAATTCTGGAATAATGCATCCATGATTTGACTTGTTGTACCACTTCTACAATCAAGTGGGAACCTCTGTCTGATGACATTCCCAAATGTACCTCGAATCCAGGGATTCTTGGATTCAACAGTATTCCACTCACTTCCCCAGCCCAGCTGGTGTCACAAGGGAAAAACCTCTGGTCACTCAGAGAAGGTATCCCCCAAGACTAGGAGATCTTTACACCCCCCTTTTCTGGGCAATTCAGTCAAATCCATCTGCCAACATTCACCTGCAACATTTCCACACTGTACATCACCTATTCCCCCTGCATTGGCAGGGCTGGATCATTTCTCTCACACACCACACTGCTGACTCACTGCTTGTACAACTGGGTCAGTTTTGCACCCCTAACCCACCTGTGCAAATGTTACAGTACAGAGACAAATACAAACACAAAACAAGGATCAGTGGATAAAACAAAGCCAGGCACCAAATCGTGGAATACCAAATAACCCACCCAGAGTGCTGGAAGATCCACACATCTTACATGAGCAGGATTCCCCAAAAGAATGCCTTATTATCCAATGGGATCTCCCCCACATCCCAGACTGGGCCAGGGATCTGTGATCTTCTCCAGGAAAGTCCTGGGGTCGGCGTGAAGATCCAGAGATCCCTCGGATCCGCGGGAGATCAGGCACAGGGTCCCATCTGGGGGCCAGAAATGATCCCCACAAGCAGCAGAACCCAAGCCCTTCACCCCAGTTTGGGGTGTTAAGAAGCAGGCATTCTTTAGGGCAGCGTGCTGGACGCCTGCAGGAGAGTTCTAATCCAGCCTGCTCAGGGACACAGGCAGGGCTTGGGATTACACACACTGATTCCAGAGGCATTGGATATTCTCCCTTACTTAACACACGTCCATTACTTTGCTTTACACAGTCACATCCCTTATTGCAAGTACCTATTTGGTCATTTGGGGTCTTCTTTGGGGGTCTCTGGTGGGTTTTTTGGCATCTGGTGCCCCCCCAAAGTCAGGTGTCCCCTTCTTGACCTCAGTTCTCAGCATCACTGCTTTTCCCCACAGAGACCAGCATGTTTGGTTTGATCTTCTCTGGGTCCCCAGAGCTCAGCTCACATCCTGTTTGCTTGAGTTCCAGCCCTGATCCAATTCTCCAGGACTTCTCTAAGATTCTATTGTTCCTTATTTGGCCAGAGCAGAATCTTGGGAGCAATGTTCTACTTCTCCCAAACCAAGGCTGCCCCTGCCCCATCTGCTGCCAAACAAGGCCAGACATCGACTGCCATGGCCTCGACCACTCTCCAGATACAGAAGGATAAAGATCACATTTTGCTCACAATCAGACATATTTTGTTAATGAACAGGTACAAACAGGATTCACTAATGAGCCCAGACTAACAGATCTGACTAATAAGCACACCTGTTTGCTCAGGAGCAGATACACAGGTGGAGTCCCATCACAGCACATTTTTACCAACAAACAGACCCAGTTTTAGCTGATGAGCAGATACATGGAGACACAGCCCATTAGGTTGGAAGGTTCATCTAGAGCTCAGCTTTGGCTCAGGGGCTGTTGTTCAGCCTCAGCACTTCAGGGACAGCCAGACAGGGCTTTACATTACACACACAGTTTACAGGTTCATTACAGAGTCTTGCTTACTTAATACAGACACTTTTAGACAACATTTGGATCACATTTGGCACTAAAAAGAGATGTAAATTTTCCTCCCATGTCAACAGTGTTTGAACTGTTGTCAGAAGAGCAAAACAAGAGTGAAGCATTTTGTTCCTGCAATAAGTGGGAACCTCTGTCTGATGGCATTCCCAAAGGCATCCCAAATACAGGGAGGATTGCATTGAACAATATTGCAGTCTCTTTCCAAACCTTCTTAGTGCAACAAGGAAAAGCCTCTGGCTATCCAGAGAAGGTATCCCTCAAGACTAGGAGATCTTTACACCCCCCTTTTCTGGGCAATTCAGTCCAATCCATCTGCCAACATTCACCTGGAACATTTCCACACTTTACATCCCCTATTCCCACTGCATTGGCAGGGTTTGGATCATTTCTCTTACACACACCACACTGCTGACTCACTGCTTGTACAACTGGGGTCAGTTTTGGACTTATTATAATCCACTTGTGCAAATGTTTCAATGATTTGCTTCAGTCCAAGGAATACCCTCATGTTCCCCATCCACCAGGTCACACCAGATTGGTTCAGGGACTATTATTTGCCCACCTGGGGTAACTGCCCAGCCTCCTGGAGCAAATTTTGCTCCTAAAGTTTCAATGAGCTGACAATCCTTAGCACTACACTAGTTTTTTTTTCTACTGGGAGAGGTATCTCTGTCAGGGTTATTAAAGACAAAACTTTACTCTCTAAAGTGCCTTTTTCTGCAGCCTCTTTGGCAGAATTATGGGACAAATGATTCCCCAGTTCTGCTTTGGTCTCCCCCTCTTGGTGCACTCTGCAATGCAGGACAGCAGCCTCTTGTTGGTTTCTGGAGATCTTCAAGCAAGTCCAAGGATTAACTTGTTCTCCTTGACTCAATCCCAAAGCTGGAGTGAGCACAATTGGTTCTGCTTTCTGGGCTGAGGCACTGCAGAGGAGTGCCCCCAGTTCCATGACCTGCTGGGGGGAGTTCCTGTGCATCCAGAGAATTGTTTTCCACGCTGGACAAAGCTGCCCCCACTGGGAAACAATTCCCAACCAGGACTTTCCCAGGGGCTGTCTCCTGAGTCAGCTCTGCCCGAATACACTTCTCCTCTAGTCTGGAAGCAATCACTCTCTGGGCTTCCTTTGCTGGGGCTGGGGCAGTTGACAGGTTGCTTCTTTCCTTCCTGGCCCAGCCTCCCTTGTCCTTGGAGAATTCCAAAGCCCAGGGAGGCTCCTGGGGTCTGGACTACTTGCACTTTGTGTTTGGGACACCCCATATCCACCCAGTCCAAGGAAATTCCATAGTGTCTGATCCCAACATTGCTGCTCAGCATCAGTGGCTATCAAAATATCCACACACTGGAATAAGGCTCCAAGAGGGTTTTGACTTTTCCATTCCTCCAGTTCCTTTGCCAATTGAGTTCCAAATACTGGGGGGCTATTTTTAAACCCCTGCAAGAGGACCACCAAAGTCAGCTGGGTTTTCCTCCCTGTCTTTGGATTTTCCCAGTTGAAAGCAAAAAGCTCTTGACTTTCACAACTCAAAGGGAGACAGAAAAAGGCAGCTTTCAAATCTAATACTGTGAAACATACTAAACTTTCATTTAGGGGAGTTAGCAAAGTGTAAGGATTTGCTATGACTGCTTGTATATCTTCTACTCGATTATTTATAGCTCTGAGGTCTTGGACTAACTGGGATAGCCTTCCATTTGCCCCCTTGACTGGCAAAATTGGAGCATTACATTTAGATTCACATTCTTTTAACAAGCAAAATTTCATCAGTTTTTCTACAAAGGGTGAGAATCCCTCACAACTTTCCATTTTCAAAGGCTATTGCTTTGGCCTGACCAGCCCTGCTCCAGGTTTCACTGGAATTCTCACGGGTTCTGCTCTTTTGGATCATGGAGGCACCTCTCCAGCCCATCCTACTGGAATCACTGCATCCCCAAGTGACATTGGCAGATGGATTAGTTCTGCTTTTGGAGACTCTCATGCAAAACTAGAATCTTCCACAGAATTAGGCTCTGCAATAATAACTTATATTTTATCATTTTTAAATTGGATTGTGGCATTTAATTTTTCCAAGAGATCTCTCCCAGGCAGAGGCTTTGGGGAATTGGGGAAATACTGGGGAGCCAACCACTGTTTTCCCAGTTTTAAATCCACAGCATTAAAAATGGCCCAGTTTCCCAATTCCCTGTCACACCAGACAGTTGTTCCAGAATTGTGACTTGAGTTTCATTTTCCCTTATTTAAGACAGGGGAACAAGTTCCCACAGCCACAACCAATTGTACTTAGCTTGGCTGGAACCAGATGTTCTGATGGGGAAGAATCCTCTGGTGCCCCCTCAGTCGTCTGCAGTGATGCCAGGAGAGGGTTGGGAGGGTTCTGAAGTTTCAGTTGTGGATAATCCCATTTCCAGTGTCCATCTTTCTTACAGGATGCACAGGGATTGATCCCAAGTCTCCTGGGGGGGATGTTTGAAGCAGGCTGCCCATGCTCTCATCCTCTTCCTCTCCCCGGGGGCACCATTTCCTCAGGGATTTCTGAAGCTCTCTGCTCTCTCTCTGACACATTCTCTCTCCTTTTCTTCTGGACATGCTAAATCTGCCTCTTCACATGCCAGTTCCCCTGCAAGATTGGTTTCTGCATCTTGATTTTCTGTTCCCCCACTCAACCTGCCCGTGGGGCCAACCAGAAGATCTGAGTCCTCCTCTTTATTGGGGAGATGATGAGAACAAAGTTCTCCTGTGCTCCACACTGAACAACAAGGCTTTAACCATCTCCCTTGATTTTCCTTTCCGGGCTCACACCAAGGGCTCTGAGGGCGCTGCATTCACACCACAATCCTTCTGCCATTTCACAGGTTCTGCAAAGTGAAAAACACATCAACACACAGAACCTCCTTCCACTTCTGTTCCCGTTCTGAAACAGCACCAACTGTAACAATGGATTATAATTCAATGTTCCAGAACAGCCACCCATTGATTACAACACTTCATTAAATTCTCCCTGGGAGCTGTTCCTCTGAGGGGGCTGCCAATCTTCATCCAAAATTGCAAAATGCAACAAAGTGGGGATTTCTTCACAATTCCCCCTTCAGATTGCCCACTCCCCATCTCTAAACAGTAGACCCAAAATGGTACAATACAGAAACAAATAAGAACACAACAATATTGATCGATAAAACAAAGTCAAATACCAAATTCCAAAATAACCCACCCAAAGGGCTGGAAGATCCACAGGTCTCAGATGAGCAGGATTCCCCAAATACCAAAGAACCCCCCCAGTGCGCTGAAAGATCCACATGTTTGACATGGGCAGGATTCCCAAAGAGAATGCCTTGTTATCCAGTGGGATCTTACCTGTGTCCCAGACTGGGCTGGGGATCTGTGCTCTTCTCCAGCAAAGTCCTGGTGCTGGTTGAAGATCCAGAGATCCCTCAGATCCGTGGGAGATCAGGCAGAGGTGTCCTGTCTGGGGGGCCAAAAATTACACCCAAAAGCAGCAGAAACAAACTTCTTAACCCCAATTTGGAGATGTTAAAAAGGGCATTCTTCTTTGTTCAGCATGCTGGAGGTTCAGAGGAGAGTTCCTCTAATCCAACGTGCCAAATGACAGACAGGGCTTTTTATTACACACACTGTTTACATGTGCATTTGATAGCCTTGCTTACTTAATACATATTCATTACTCTGCTTTACATAGTCACACCCCTATTGGAAGTCCTTTTCTGGGCCTTCCTGGCCTTCTCTGTCATCCTGACCTCAGTTCTTGAGCAGCACAGCACCACTGTGCTTCTTTTATCTGGGTACACAGGGCTTAGTTTACATCCTGTTGGTTTGGGACATCCCTTATCTAATTCTCTAGGACTTCTCCAGGATTACATTGTTCCTCATTTGGGCACTCCAGGGTACTGGGAGTAGAGTTTCTATTTCTTCTGTCAATGGTTTGATGGAGACCATGAGGAGCTGGGAACTCGTTGCAGGGAAAAGAGGGAGCAGTGGGGAAGTAACAGGCAGGTGGGGGAGAGAACTGTTCAGAGAACAGCTGAGATACAGCTCGAGCAAGGTGAAAACTAAACTGTCATTTGGGGTCATCCCAGATCGATTGGATTTCAGAAATTACTCAACACAGGTGCCACCTCCTCCAGCCAAGCCCATTTAACCCCCCCTTCCCCAGGTGGTTCCTTTGCCCATGAGCAGCAAAGCTCCCACTGCTTCTGCAACTGGAGAGTGTTGGAGCCGTGGACCATTAACATTCCAGTCTCTCCCAGCTCTGCATCCCAAAAGTCGAGAGGGAACAGTCTGTCACCTCAAAGTGAATCAATCCCATTGAAAATGGCTGGATCCCATTCCAAAACCTCTGTGTTTCTTATTTTCCCTATGTAATTCTGGGGCAGCTGGTGCCACTCCTCAGCTCTCATCAGGCTGAGGCTTGGCCTTGCACTTTTGCCTTTGCTGGATTTCTTCATCAAATATTTCTCTCTCCCTGAAAAGAAACATATGGAAGGTTTTCAATAATCTGGACATCTTTAGACCATCTGGACAAATGACAGTTTGCAGTGTTGGAACAGCTCAGCCAGAACGTTTTCCATGTTTAATCATTTGTTCCCATCCCTCCCAGGAGGGAGGACACTGAACTCTTCCACAGAAACAGAAAACTAGTAACAAAAATTCAGAGACTACTGAAAACGAAAAATACCTTTTGCTCACAGGTGGCCCTTTCATGTCCTTCTCTTCTGCCTTCCTGCAATCCATGTTATCCACGGCAGCAGTTGCCTAGATGATGGCCCAAAAAAGCTTTTTAATTCATTTATAATCATTCCAGAAAACTGAATCACAGCTGGGGTGTGTGTAGTCGGTTGTAGTTGGCTTCCCACCAAACCCCACAGACTACAGCAAAAACCTTCCAAAGGAAAAAAAACAGAATAGCAAAAGCTATAGCAAAAATATATATGTATTTTACATATACCACAGATATATATAATTAAAACACTGTGTACATATAACACGCAAACCCCAAACAATCCCGAAAGGGAAAAGGATAGGGAAAAGGAAAGAGAAAGGGAAAAAAGGGACAAAAAGGAAAAAGAGAGAAAAAAAAAAGAAAAAGAAAAAAAAGAAGAAAAAAAAAAAAGAAGAAAGAAAAAAAGAAGAAAAATAAAAAAAAGGGACAAAAAGGAAAAAAACCAAACCGAAACAACAGAAACCCGAGGCAGGAATGCACAATTACAATCAGTAAAGAACTAGCAAAAGAATATCTTACTACTCTCCTTGGGACAGCAGAATCGCGCTGAACGACCGCCGGCACCCTCTGCCTCCCAAGGTCTACAAGGGCTCACTAGACCTCACTCCCCCACACAGCAGAACCGACAGCAGGGAACCTGTGCCTTCAGAACCACTGGAAGGGAAGAGAGCGAAGGCTTCTCTTCCCTTCTTATTTATACCCTGGCTTACGTAAAAATCATAGGGAATACTGGGAACATGGCCACTTCCTTGGTTACAAACTGGTCACCGAGGAAAGGCCCAGACTAAAACTACCAGAGTGTGGGAGACCAAACAGGTGTTCAGGCTGGAGAGCCAGAGGCAGCTCCCCAGAGAGAGGCCTCAGAGATAGCGATGGAATCCATCAGACGGCCTTGGGCACTCTGTGAGAGTGAGAGAAGAAGCTGCTAACTTCAGCGGAAGGATACCTGCGGTGAACACCTACTACCAAAGTTAAAAATGAGAAGGAAAAGACTGTTTTAGCTAACCCTACTTATGAAATATGAATTAATTTATAATTAAGAATGACAGTGTGTTGTTAGAAAAATTTGAATAGTGTGGATAAGTTAGAAAAAGTGTGTGACAGTGTGTTAAATAGGTCCATGCGTGCCTCCTTCCCTGTAGCCTAAAACTTCCTGCGCTAGGTGGGATAAAAATGCTTCAATGTAAACATTGCATGCTTTTTTTTCCACCATTCCGGGCAACTCTGTTCCCTTCTACTGGACAAAGAGGACGAAAGAATAAAACCTCTATTTTTAGTGATGCAGTCAGATTGTGTAATTTAATAGCCAACAACAGTAAAAGAGTTTATTACTGTGTCAGAAAAGATTTTAGGTGTCGGCATTTGGTGCCCAAAGTAGGGACTTGGTTCTGATTCCTTATATTTAGGAATGGACCAGGAATAGCAGGTGGTGGTTACAGGTCCCTTACCTCGGTGACGCAGCGCGATCGAACTCCGGAGATGGTGCCAGAATCCCTCGCTGCAGGACAGGGAGGTGAGCGGTCGTGAACAATTTAAGAATAGTCAATAATTAGAAGAAAATCGTAATAATGGGGTTAAATATGTCCTCTGAACAAAAAGATGTGCATGAATTTATGAAATGCCTGTTCAAAGAGCATGGGTCGAAGGTAGAAGATCTACCACTACAGAATCTGCTTCTTTGGGCACAGAAAACTCAACTCGGTTTAACTGTTTCAAATGTTTTTAACGTCTCAGAGCGGGATCGTATAGGAATTAAGCTCTGGAATGCTGTGACCCAAGGGGACAAACAAGTGGCCAGCATCTTGAGACTGTGGCACTTAGTCTTCGAGATTCTAAAAGATAGATCATCTAAAAAAATGCCACTCCTGGAGCAAAAACAAATTGAAAAACCCGCCGACTCACCCCAGGAGGTGGAGAAAGGGGGAACCAGCTCACAAGCTACGGAGCTGCCACACACGGAAAACCCTCACCCCCAAGTGCCCTTTGCCATCGCAGCGTCCGTGGGAGGGGGGCTCTCAGGAGGCACAGCCACCGCAGACGCGGGCCGGGTCCTGCCACATCCATCCACCCTTCCGCCCGTGCTGAGTCCTGAGCGAGCAGACACGGCTGCTCTGGTGCCACTCGACTCCATTCCTCTCCCTGGGAAGCTGGAGAGATCCCCCCTCTCTCCCCGCCAGCTCAAGAATTTCCAACTGTGCCACTCCAAGATGGCGCCGGGTCCCTCCCAGAGGGGAGGGGCGAGTCCGCCCCAGGAAGTGAATCCTGCCGTGAGGTCGCTGCTCTGCGCTTCTGAGTTCCTGCCTGCTCCAGTTCCGGGTGGGAACTCTTGGGAGCCGTGTCCTTACAATCCAGGACAAGAGCAAACTTTATTCCCTGCCGATCCAAAAGACAGACGGGCTCCTGTTAGGAAAGCAGCAGCAGAGGAAGGAGATTTGCATATGATGCAAGCCTTCCCAGTTATCTTTACAGCCGGTCAGCAACCCCACTGGGAACCTGTCCCATATCCGGTTTTAAAAGACTTACGGCAGGCTGTTATGGAATACGGGCTGGAGGCTCCATTTACAAGAGGGCTTTTAGATTCTTTGTTTGGCACCTTTGTGCTGACTCCTTATGACTGTGCAGGAATAGCGAGAATGCTCCTTACTACCATGCAATACACATTATTTGAAGCAGAATGGAAAAAGTAAAGTAAAGAAGCAGGCAGAAGAGATGTCACCTATGATCCGAGTGCCAATTGCACATATTAAAATATTCTTATGGGGGAGGGACCTTATGCGACAGCAGCAGCTCAGGCTCAAATCCCATTGCTTGATTTGACTCTTGCTAAAAATCTAGCTTTACAAGCACTTAGGAAAGTACACAGTCCTCTATCATGATAAAACAAGGTGTTAAGGAACCGTTTATGCAATATGCAGAGCAGCTACGAAACGCAATAAACAAACAAATAGATTATGCTCCAGCACAAGAAACTGTCCTTTAAAAATATAGTGATAGAACATGCCAGTGAAGACTGCCAAAAAATACTGCGTGCATTATGTAATCCTACCATCACAGAGATGCTTGAAGCCTGCAGAAACGTAGGCTCACAAGCTTCCAAAACTGCTTCTTTAGCAGAGGCACTGGTCACCTTTAAAGACCCTCCTCTAGATTACGAGCCTCAACCAGATTCCCAGCCACAACCATTGTGCTGTGAGTGTGGACAGAAGGGACACTTTCAAAAAAATTGTCCCATGAAAAAACACAGTGCTAAGCCTGCAATGTGCCCTCGTTGTCACAAGGGGAATGCCACTCCAAATATGCAAAGGATGGATCCCTATTGCATCATCCAGGTAAAGGGAAGAAGCCTTCGGGAAACTGAGATATGAGCGTGCAGAGAGGTCGTGCAAAGACAAACATAGCCTCCAAACTTCAAGCCTTTCACTTAAGCCAGCTAGTTCTCTGCAAACACGCACTGCAGGCAATGCTGGAATAGACTTGAGCCCTTCAAAATCCATCAAACTCTTTGATAATGAAATACATGTAGTCTCTACAGGAATTCAAAGTCCTCTAGAGGATGGCCACAGCGGTTTGCTGATAGGTCGTACATCAACCTCTGCACTAGGTGTGTGCATACTGCCTGGAATTATAGATGCCAACTTTGTGGGAGAGAGAAAAATAATGCTGTGGACACCTGCACCCCCTGTCCATATAGAGGCAGGCACTCCCATTGCTCAGCTTATCCTGATCCAACAAAGTTTAACTCGAATCAGGGAGAAAGGCCAGACTTTAGCACAACAAAAGACAGATGGGAGATAGATGATTTTCTCTCCTGGGTTCAGCCCTTGTCAGCACAATGCCCAGTTCTACATTGCTCCTTATACAATTCTGGAGAAAAGAGACTATCCACCTGAGAGGTTTGGCAGACATGGGTGCCGATGTGACCTTGATCTCTATTCGAGATTGGCCACCCTTCTGGCCGCTTATGGAGCCAGAGAAGGCACTGAGGGGAGTGGCAGGAGTTACAGCACCACAACAAAGCTTGCATCCAATTGTGATCACAGGCCCTGAGAAGCGTACAGCCACAGTTCATCCCTTTGTTTTGGACTTGCCAATCACACTGTGGGGCTGAGATGCTTTGGGACAATGGGGACTTGGTCTCACTACAAATTTTTTCCAGAGGCCACTGAACATCAGCTGGTCCCCACCCTAACCTGGACGACTGATGAACTGGTGTGGGTGGATCAGTGGCCGCTCAGAAAGGACAAGCTGCAATATCTTCAAGTGCTTGTTCAAGAACAACTTTCAGCAGGACACATTTGTGCTTCTGCCAGTCCCTGGAATTCCCCAGTGTTTGTGATCCAAAAAAGAAGTGGCAAGTAGCATCTATTGCACGATCTAAGACGCATTAATGAAGTCATCAAGCCTACGGGAGCTGTCCAACCAGGCCTGCCTTTGCCATCAGTGCTGCCTCAAAACTGGCCACTTACTATCATTGACTTAAAGGACTGTTTCTTTTCCATTCCTTTACACCCCAGAGATGCAAGGTTTGCTTTTCCAGTGCCA